AATTTTTAATTTAAAAGTTGAATCTGTCAATTATTAAGCATAAATATTAATGCTAATACTAATCATAAATCGAGTATAAATGTCCCCATTACATTGTGAAGGTTCAACTTAATGCTTAATCATAATACTAATGCAAATACTAATAATAAGGGAGTATAAATAGACCCTTACCTAAATTAGGGAAACCAGAATCGTATTTGTTTTTCTTGCTGCACTGTGAGATATTGTTATAACGCAGTTCGATTTATTAGACGTTACGTTATTTTTATATTTTAATTTAGTGAATAGTTAGATTAAATTACATTTAGAAATATAGAGTTGTGAAAAATGGACAAAATAAAACTAATATACAAATAACGAAAAAATAGACGATTGGTTCGAATAAGGTAATATCAATTATTACAGGGTATTTATTAATTAAGTGCCGATACTTAAAGGTGTGAATGCTTGGGTGATTTCAAGAAGAAAAGTTAATATCAACTTATGTTGTAAACCTCTTTTGAGTTACATGGTGTTATAGTATTAAGAAAACATAACTATTTTATCATAAGTTTCTTATCACTTTAGATATTTTTATGAAATTTTGCCAAAGAAAAAGTGTTTCCACTCATAGTGGGGTTACGTTCGACTTTAGGGACACACTGTTTGACCAGTTTTACTTTATTTTTTGATTTAAATGATATTAAGTATGATTTTAACTCACCTTAACTTTGGAAATACGAAAAAAGTATAAATCAATTATATATTTTAATTTAATACTTTTTTAAAATAAGAAAACGAGTTTTTCATTAAATTTAACCTAAAACTTGAAAATTTTAATATTTGACATTTCTTTTCTGGATAATAAGCGGGGTTGCCAAGATTAATTTATTACTTGTTACTATTTCGGCCGTTACCCGTAATATTTAAAAAAACTAAGTAGTCTGGGTATTAACAGTATGACCGGATAGCGGAGACTTTAGAGTGAACGGTTATGTTGAATGAGTCAAATAAAATGATTTGGTAACATCGTTTTCTAGAAATTACTCAAAAATGTCAGTAAGTTTTAAAAACTTACAAAAGATTGGTGTTTAATTTTATAAACAATTGTATAAACTGATATGAACAGATATTATTATTTGATCTGTGTTAGGGGCCGGGGAGCGATATTTGATACAGATTCTGGTATTTTATCACAAAATACTATTATTTTTATTTTATTAACCAAATCATACAAGTATAATAATTTACGAGTTTACAAATTAATTATATCTTCTTACATATTAAAATACTTGGCAACCTTGTACACATAAGTCAAAATATTTGATTAAAAATGTGTAATTTTTGAGATTTTAATATTAAATTTCTCGCTTAATCGTGGATAATCTCCAAATTTGTTTTAATTGTCATGATATATAACTTCTTCACTTTCTAATAGTATAAAAATTTTTTTGAAATTCGTATGTCTTTTAAGTCGAATGTAACCCATAGTGGGTTCCTACCAAATTTCAACAAAATATGAAAAGCAGTTTCAATAAACTTTAAAAAAAAATTGTTTCTTATTTTCTTACGCGAAAAGGTTGCGTCGTAGGAAAGTACATCTATAAACTAAATTTGCTCCAAAATAAAGATTTTAAAGATAATTTTGGTTTTTGTAAAAAGCAGTGGTGTACCATATTTTTCTTCAAAAATATTCAGTCCAAACCCGGTACGGACGTCACTGGTAAATATTTTAAAAAGTCTTTAACGACAAAAATGCGGGATTAAAAGTGAAAGTTTACTCCGTTGGTACATAATATACTGTATTTATATATCTAATTGTTATTATTACACTGTATGTGACATGGCTTTTTTGTTTTCCTTTTTTGGATTAACAAAAGATTATTTTAATAATTTAAAATAAATTATTAAACTTTTTTAATCTACGTGACAAGTATTAAAGAAATTTAAAAAACCGACTTCAAAATCGTGTAGATGCCTTCACCACATCTCGACCAAATTTATAAGGGACCACACGTACCTCCTTATTAACAAAAAAAGAATCATAGAAATCGGACAAGGTGGTAAAGAATTATCGCTGAACAAATACATAAGCAATGAAGAGGACATGGACCCAATTATTAGATTTTGACCAAATATGGGACCACCCCTGAAGTACCCCCTTTTCAGCAAAAAAATAATCCTTGAAATCGGACACCGTGTTAAAAAATTATCGCTGAACATATATAAAAAAAATATTACGACGAATTGAGAACCTTCTCATATTTTGAAGTCGGTTAACAAAGGATATATTAAACTATATTGTAATAACTAAAAACCACTATATGGGGTTATATACATTTTTTTAAATTAATTTTATATGTAAAAATGTGGGTTCGGTTCGGTTCACTGCGCAGCCAAATTTATATTTATGGTACAGAATTTTTTAAATAAATGAAGTTTTAGGTTTAATAAACATCACGTTTTATCAGGAATAACATTTTCCGAAAAAAGTAACAAGAAAAAGTTTTCCATATAAAAAGCAGGCTTTTTGCGAGGCACTATATTGATAAGGGAAATTCCCAGATAACGAAATTTAAAATTATTGTCAAAATTGAAGTTAGCAAAGCTGGACGATTTAGACTCTAGAAAAATATTATTGTGAAAATATCAAAGATGTTGTTTGATTTTGGGAATGATAGATTGTCATTATCATTTTTGAAGATGTCAGACGGGAAATTTTGAAAGAGGAGTGTAAGTTTGGATTTTATATAAGGAGAAAGAGTATTGATTGGAAATAAAGATATTTAGAGATTTTGGAAGAAACTGTAACAAGAATTTAGATTGTCAGAAAATTTTATAAAATTTTGAAAAGATTGTTAAAATAATTCATGAATTAATTTACAAGAAAAATAAAGTTAAAAAGATAAAGTAAAGTTATTTAATTGAAACTAAGATACAAAATGAAGCAGAGAAGCCAGGGCAGAGAAAAGAAACAGCAGGAGGTAGGAGACTATAGGAGAGTATAAAAAAATAAGACCAGAGTTAAAATAAGAACCAACATCAGAAGGAGGAGTAGGAGCAGAGCAACCAGGGCAGAGAAATAGATTTTTTTTGAATTTAACTGATTTTTAATTATTTTCATTTTTTTTATACAAAATAAATTTTCTAGATTTTGAACCCGCCTAGTTTTGAGATTTGGTAGTTATTTAGAATATTTTTTGGAAATCCATATACTGGGTATTTCCATATCAATATATTTTAGAGGGCAATCCATATTATATTAGACAAATAAATAAAATTTTTGTATAATCACGAAAATGTGATTTATCTTTTAGAATACTATATGTTTATCAAAGTTTACTAATTTATATATAAAAAAAATTTATATTCAAAATCTTTCTTAAATTTTTTAGCACGGTAGAAAATACCTTAATAGTTATAGTTGTCGATTTTAAACAAGAGGGAGACCGGTCATCGAAGAGAAACAGCAAAATTAGTAAAGAATTGTAATTCGATTCAAAAGCATTCTTTCTCTATCCATTTCCTAAAAAAACTAATAGATCTTTTTGAAATCGGTTTTCGGTGACTTTTCTTTTGATTTATTGCCTTGAAAATGATATGATTTACATAAAAAACAAAAAACGGACCTATTATTTTTTTGAAATAAAAATGTTATTTTCACAATTTTCTAAAAAAGAAACACGATGCTGTCAAGCAAGTTCTTCTGTAGGTATTAACATATTCTTTAATTGGCTTTTTAAATTTTTTAAAAATATTTTTTAGTATTTTCATAATTTGGAAATCATTATGAGAAATTTTCTCCACTTTTATTCCTGCAGAAGTCCAAAAGCACAAAATACAAAAATTTCTTGTGTTACGTGCAACTAGCCCTGAATTTGAAAATACCAATAGTGGTTCTCCTTAATGGTATTGGTACTTTACTCGAGCAAAATTCTTATTTTTTGACAAACGGCTTAAAAAAATTGATATCTGATGACTGTATTTTAAGTTTTGGGTCATGTAGGACTTTTATCACGAATAACTTTTTTCCTAAAATCAATAATAAAAATGTTTTTCATATGATTCCAACTTATATCGAGATATATTTGATAAGTTATTTATTTTCTGGAAAACTTTAAGGGCAAATAAAATTAGCTGCTGTCATGCCTTATATAATTTTTTTAATATACACTGGCAAGCAAAAAATTGAGGTCACCTTAAATTTTCATGTTCTTTGAAATTTTACGTTTTCAGATCGTATTCGCAAACTGTACATCATTGCATGTGCTTTTGTAAGCTGAATGTGATACTCTATACTAAACAGAAATGCATTTTTTTCTAATACTATTATGTCCTATCAATATTGACGCTAAAATTATTCGCAATTTCTGAAGTGACCTCAATTTTTTGCTCGCTAGTGTATTTAAAATGATTTTTTTAAGCACTTTGCTCAGGATTGGGATAGGCACAGGTGCCATTTGGTAAAGTACAATGTTTTTACATGCTTTTGGGGTATATTTCATTTCGTTTTCAGATGACGGTAAAAATTATTTGCAGTGGGCTCTTGGGCTATTATGATTTGATTCTGTATGCGCCAGGGATACAAATCCGAGTTGCGCAATGTGTAAACTAGAACATTGAGATCAAAAGTGCCGAGCCAGAATGAGCGAACTGATTCTTTAGCAATAAACTGCGCTAAAGTTGACTCAATCTCTTCCTATATTCGGGTTAAGCAGAGCAGGTCTGTATGTAAGAGAATAACAAAAGTCTAGAACTTCGAAACTCCAAGACAAAATCCACATAAAGGAAACGCAAATGAAGTTTGTAAAATGCACCCATAGGTCAGGATACATTGCAGTATCGTGCTCAGTCTGAAGTAGTGCAGAATCGTCGAAGGATGTCGTTATTTTTTAAATTAGAATAATGTTGCCAAATAGTAAGATTTAACGAAGTTTGGATACCCTATTTGAAGATCAAAATAGTTTAATATATGACTTCATTTAAAAAAAAAAAAAATAAAAAAAAATTAAATGACTTACCTCTCCAACTCCGAAATCTCCGGGTTCTACAGGTGGATACTTCAGTGGTAAATCAAACGCTATGTTCTCCATAAACCATTTAAAAGGCTTACATTGTAGCCTTTCTCTGATTTCACGTTGTTTGGTTAGATTTCCAGGGTCGAGATTCTTGTAATGAGGTCGTCTCATATATAAATACTGAGCGTATTCATCCATCCAAACTTCAGCAACTCTTCTGTAGTTCTATGATAAATACGTTAATTTTACATTAAAAGCATTTATATGAGTCATTAAATTATACAACGTGGAAAACTAAGTGTTTTCCAAATTAAGAGAAGATATGAATTTTTGATAAATATCTAAAAAAAAAAAACGAAACTGTATGTTTATTTTCTATATTCAAGAATAATACAGTGCGAGACACCGAAAACGAAATAGATTAATATCATAAGAGCGGATTGAACAAAGAATGCTGAAATGTCAGTTTAGCTAACAGAAGTTTAACTGGTTATATTGTTCAGATTTGAACACTTTTCTTTACCTATTAAAAATAACATCCTGTATATGAAATAATTTAATTCTTTTATTGTATAAAAATATCGAAATTATATGCTAACTTGCAGTAATTTATTTAATTTTGTTGACCTTGTTATGATTTAGGTGATTGTGTTTATGATCTGTGATTTAATAAATCATGGTTGATTTTAGAAATAAAACAATTCAAAACTAAAAACTTGTAGTATTAACCCGAATTCACAAAAAAAAACCCCAAAGGTCGATTATACATATATTCGATGTACAAATATTATTTTTAAAACTATGTTTAACAATAACCGATGATTGTACAACAAGTTTTACAGTATAAACTAATTATTTTTTAACTGCTTACTGAACCATCTGCCCAAACAGGTTTATTTTTATAAAAAAAAAATTAAATTGTCGATTAAAGCGAGGGGAAGGAAGTGACGTTAAGATAGTTGAATATATAGAAATATTTCCGCTTGGAATAAAAAAAAAACTTTCTTGCTCTTTCGCTCTTATATAGCTACTTAATTTAGCCCAGTTAATAATAGTAGGCTAATTATTAAATGTCTGCGCTATTATTGTTCTATTTCTTGGCGTAAATACAAAATTATTGAAAAAATACATACCCTTCCAACAAAATCTCCTTTTCCGGGGTTCGGGAATGGAGCGTACTTTCTATAAATATGACCGACTCTGGAGCAAGGAGCATCGTACATTTGTCCTCCGCATTGCCAAATTTTGAAACTAAGTTCATATTGTTCTCCTCCCCAAATATCAAGGCCTTCATCGTATCCACCCAATTCCCAGAAGAATTTTGTGCTTATCGCAAAAAGTCCGCCAGCCATTACTGGACTCCTAAAATTCAAACAAAATAGGCAATTTTTATCTACGTAATTGCAATTATTATATATTAAATTGCATTTTAACTATACAAAAGTCTCTTATTTGGAATTTACTGAAAATATAAGGGGGATATCTTGAACCTTGTTGAGTACCTCCACCATATACAACCATATGGAAAACTATTTTACTATTGGTTTTGTTAAAAAAAAAAATGTATTCTTAATAAAGTTATGCATGGTCCAAAAATTAAAATGCCAACCATCAGATAGGTATCAAGTTTTTTAAGCCGTATACGAGATTTGTCAAAAATATAATTTTTGCTAAAGAGTAAAGTACCTTTACTTTTAACATACCTTGTATACGACTGATAAAATTTAATATCCGATGATTGTATTTTAAGTTTTGGACCATGCTCGACTACTTATGAAGAATAACTTTTTTTCCCAATATTAATTCTAAAAAAGTTTTTCATATGCCGCCAACTTATGTAGATAAACCATCAGATTAACATAACTCCGTTATCAGAGATATGTGGGGCATATACACTATTAATATCTGACGCATTCGAATATTTCCGTGTGATTTTTTTTACATTTTTAAAAACTTGTAGACTCTCCACCCACCAGTGAAAGGCTATACAGGGTGTTTCCGAACTTGGTGTCCAAATTTGTAGGGGTGGTAGTTCGCATAATTTGAGAGCGATTGGCAGATTTCATTTTTCTAAAAAATTATAATAAACAAAATAGAGCCAATACAAAAAAAAATCAAAGAACAGGTCCTACCATGAGCGCGTAACGCAATAGTCCTCAAAAATAGAAGCGATTTGCAATTTTGTCGATTCTAAGCGTAGCGCGCACGAGTCGAGGCTATCCTACCGCTGTGCAGGACCGTACCTGTTTATAATTTTTAATTATTTTTATATTAAATATTTTGGAAAAATGAAATCTGCGAATCGGTCTCAAATTATGCGAACTACCATCCCTACAAATTTGGAAGCCAAGTTCGTATATCATAGAACTTTTTTTATTCGATCCTCTAATCTTCAAAATCCAATAGTCTCCACGACGCTCGAGTAAATCCTCATTTAGCATCATGGGCTCCCCTATTATTATCCTCTTTATAGAAAAAATATGCCCTAACATAAATATATCTAAAGTCAAAAAATTCGATTAGTTAACTCTTAGGAATAAACTACTGAGCAACAGTGGGAGATTTTGCGTTTATTTTTTTTATTAATTTATTAAGACAAATTTGTACTAAAGGCAATTCACATGAAATAATAGTTAGATAAATAGGAAGGATTTTTAAATAACCTAATTAGCTAGCACTAGGTATAAAAGATGAACAAGAATATAGAACGATGATAACAGATCTCTCAAACCAGGGCTATCAGTGGCATTTATATAAGATGAAACAAACCAGACCAATAAAAGTGATGGCTAGAAACCTACACCCTACCTGCAAGCCAGAAGATATAGCTGAATAATTAAAGCACAGTGGATTTAAAATCTTGGATGTAGTTAATATCCAAAGGAGAGAAACTAAAGAAGAATAAAGAGGAAATCAAGTTAAAAGAACTGCTATAAAAAAGCTATTGCCGCTATTCATGTTAACATTTGAAAACGGTGAAAACATTGAAAGGATTTATGAAATTAAGACATTACAAAACCTAATAATCCAAACGGTGTCAAAGATATGGGCATACTAAACATTTTTGCAATAGGCAACCAGTGTGTGTTAAATGTACCAAAAGCCATCTTACAGATGAGTGTGATAAGCCGGCAAGTATACCACCATAATGCGCAAATTGCAATCAAGCACATCCAGTAAGCTATAGAGGATGCGAAGTGGCAAAGAAGATGCAATACAGAAGAGACCAGGTAAGCAAAACTAACCACAATAGAAATAATACCCAAACTAGACGACCTATCATTAATAATGTAAAGTAAAGTAAAAGTAAAGTAAAGTAAAGTAAAGTAAAGTAAAGTAAAGTAAAGTAAAGTAAAGTAAAGTAAAGTAAAGTAAAGTAAAGTAAAGTAAAGTAAAGTAAAGTAAAGTAAAGTAAAGTAAAGTAAAGTAAAGTAAAGTAAAGTAAAGTAAAGTAAAGTAAAGTAAAGTAAAGTAAAGTAAAGTAAAGTAAAGTAAAGTAAAGTAAAGTAAAGTAAAGTAAAGTAAAGTAAAAAGTAAAGTAAAGTAAAGTAAATAAAAGTAAAAGTAAAGTAAAGTAAAGTAAAGTAAAGTAAAGTAAAGTAAAGTAAAGTAAAGTAAATAAAAGTAAAAGTAAAGTAAAGTAAAGTAAAGTAAAGTAAAGTAAAGTAAAGTAAAGTAAAGTAAAGTAAAGTAAAGTAAAGTAAAGTAAAGTAAAGTAAAGTAAAGTAAAGTAAAGTAAAGTAAAGTAAAGTAAAGTAAAGTAAAGTAAAGTAAATTTTATTTGACTACGTTACATATTACAATATATTTTTGTAGCAAGTCACAAAACGTACATATTAAAATAACAGCTTATTTTTAAACATAAATATAAAAACATAAAATACAGAACTACACAATGAAATAACTACATACATATAATTGTTAAGTAGAATAAAATAACTCAAATTAAGTTAGGTGAGTATATATAAAAGAGAAGAGAAAACAAATAGAGTAGAAGGTTTAAGAACTATGTAAGTTTACACCGATCGATATATTCCTCTACGGAATAAAAACAATATGTCAACATAAATGTTTTTAATTTTTTCTTAAATGCCAGCCCAAACTCGGATGGCAATACATTATAAAGACCAAGGTCGAGGGAATTGTTTTTTGATTTATTTAGACGATATCTATTTATTCTTAAGTTGTTAGCTTGTCTGGGAGGATATTTGTGAATGTCGGACTGCCTAGAAAGACATGATAATTTCTTATGAATTTCCAAAAGGACACTAAATATATAAATCGTTGGTAGAGGCATTATTCCTTGCTGAATAAACAAGGGCTGACAATGTTCTCTAAATTTGGAACCAGTTATGATTCTAACAGCCTTCTTCTGCAGCCGAAAAATAAAAATTGCATCTGAACTGTTACCCCAAAGTGCAGTGGCATAATTTATGTGGGAATGGAATAGGGAAAAGTAAATCGTTCGTAATATGTTACGATCTGTTATAGTTTTAAGCTGCCTCAACAGATATAAGGTACTGCATAATTTAGGTTTCAATTTATTCATATGAATTCTCCAAGTCAAATTACTATCTAACATAACTCCAAGTAACTTAGTACTATTGCAATTTTGAGAATCGGTAACCGAAGAAAACTGCAATTCCTGAGATTCATTTTGATTTAACATGAGATTGTTAGCTAAGAACCAATGTTCAGCTTTAGCGATAATAGTTTCTGCAGTATTTTTCAATTCAATTTCATTTTTTGCAGTGTACACAAAAGTGGTATCGTCTGCAAATAGAACAGATTTAAAAGGACCCATATATTTACTTAAATCGTTGGTATATATAATAAATAATAATGGTCCTAAGACAGAGCCCTGTGGAACTTCATGCTTAACCGAACTAAAATTTGACCTTTGGTTCTGAAATGTGACAGCCTGAAAGCGTCCAGATAAATAAGATTCTAAAAGTTTTAACGCACTTCCTCGGACGCCGTAGTAATTTAACTTCTCAATCAAGATGTCATGAGAAATGCAGTCGAAAGCTTTCGACAGGTCGCAAAGAGTAACTGCTGTGTGACTACCTTGCTCAAGGCCAGACACCACTCCATGAACAACATCTATTACAGCTTGAACCGTTGATTTGTTGGTTCGAAATAGTATATTACATTACGAGTGTGGAAAGTGACATTTTTCACACGAGTGGGAAATATTGTCGCACGAGGCGCAAGCCGAGTGCGACTATCACACGAGTGAGGAAAATCACTTTTCACACAAGTGATGTACAATATTTTTCCTACTACCACAAAATAATGTCATCAAAAAAATGTAAAACCAAGGGTATTATTACTATAATAATTAAAATGTATTTAAAAAAATAATCAACAATAATCGTATTAGTTCAATTTTCATATTTTCTAAACAAAAAAAAAAACTAAAAAAAAAAATAAAAAAAAAAAATTCTGCCACGCCAGGATTTGAACCATAGATTGAACGCGGTCGAAAAATGGCAAAGTTGATAAGTTCGACATCCTAACCACCTGAGCTAATAGCCCTTGTGTCAATTGAATGATCTAATCGATTATGTATTTAACCAGAATAAAGAGCAAACATTATTTTAAAATAATTTTAATAATAATTGTTAAAGATAAATATCTAGGATCTAATTTACAACAATTTCAATAATTTAACAATCATATCGATTTTAGTATTAATATGGATATTACATAGATCAAAATAGAAATTAGCTGTTTGACATTTTGTGACAACTACTGCGGAAAGTAACATATTCTCACTCGGGTGGAAAGTAAATTCTTATTCATACGCGTGTGATATAGGGCACTTTCCATAGGACTATATAGTGTGATATGTGTCACTTTCCTAAGTGGTCGTAGGAAAACCATATTGAGTGACAATAAAGTAGTTTTTTGACTCAAAATAACTATAAAGACGTGATTTAATGATTTTTTCAACGATCTTGCTAAATACAGATAAAATTGAAATTGGACGATAGTTGTCCACGATATTCTTATCGCCTTTTTTATGTAATGGTATAACTTTCGAATATTTAAAACAATCTGGAAAGACTCCAGTACTAAATATAACATTTATCAGATTGGTCAAAGGATCTAACAACAAATCAGTAGTTTGTTTTATAATTTTAACGTTTAGTTCATGAACGTCAAGAGAATTAGAGTTTTTTATGAATTTTATTGTATTCAAAACTTCATTTTGTGTGACCGGATTTAAAAAAAATGATCCAACTGGTGCAGGAAAGTTTTTAAAAGATAAAAGGCTTTTATTAGATACTTTTGGAAGCGATTTAATTATTAATTATTTCAAGAGAAATATTTGTAAAAAAATCATTAAATGCGTCAGG